CAGGATCTCGTACATCCCTTCCAAGTGGATGACAGTGGTAGCCGGGCACCATCTAGTTCTTCTGGTCTCACAGTTGTATAGGTTGCAGATCAGATGGTGTACCAGTTGCTAGGACTGATTGTTTCCATTCATTTTGGTTTTCTTCTTTCTTCTTGATGAGGAGACACCCATCATTGCATCTAGATGGCAGCTTGCTAGCTTTTAAGATCCCAGTTGCTACTCACCAAAGTAGGAGATGGAACAATGTTTTGTATAGTATGTTATGCCAATTGAGCTTGATGTCCCCTGCATCTGTCTGGTTCTTGACTGACTTGTTTTCTCAGGATGCTTTTGATTTCCCACGTGTTGGTGTCTGTAGCTCTGGTCTAGCCATGTGTCTGTGTCTGCATGTCCCCGTTGTCTGAATGCCCACAGTCTCCCTGCCCTGGTAGAGCTCCCAGGATTTGGTTAGTTCAGGTGTCATTTGTGCCCTGGTGGGTATATGCTCCTCTGTTCCTATTCTCCAGGCTCCGTGTGCAGTGAGTGAAAATTGTTCGGTTCTAGACCATTGCCACATTGTCACCGACTAGGAAATACTGATGCCTTTTACAGCTTTTCCTCCCACAAAGGAAGCATGCATGGTATTTAACTGCTGACCACTCCTCAGAAGGAAGACTGGGCAATCTATGTCCATAGAGATACTGCCTTGGGAACCCAAGGAGGGGTCACTGTGAGTCGGATCGACTCGACAGCAATGACCTTGTTTTCCTTCTTTTTTTTTTTGGCAGGCTTCTCTGATGTTTTGGTCTTGTAAGGAGTGTGACATGGTGTCTTCCTGTATTTTCTTGTGCTTACCTCACACAGCTGCACTGCTGTCAAGGCCCTGTCTCTCTTCCCACTGTTCAGATGTAGTCCTGTGACTTTCTAGAGCTTCTTGACAAACGTCCAGAGTTGTTGTTCTCGCATATCTTTTGTCCTTTTTTCTGCCCTTTCAAGAATAGTTGTAAATGTCAGTGTGATTTAATTTGTTAACCTCTTAAGTTTTATGCTGAACAGTTTTTCTCTGATGTGATAGCAGATCATTTTCCCTTAACTTCTGAATGTAGGATCGTTTTGTATTTTCAGTTTTAAAACTAAGTGCTCTGGAATTGCTGTTTTATATGTGCAGTACATGAGAATCAGTTGATTGTAAAAACTAGCTGGTTGCCAGAGTCAGTGCTGAGTGATGGTGCCCCATGCGTTTCAGGGGAGAACTGCCCTCTAGGGTTTTCACGGCCTGATTTTTGGGAAACAGACTGCCAGGCCTTTCTTCAGAGCTACCTGTGGGTGGACTCGAACCACCAACCTTCCGCTTAGTAGCAGAGTGCCTAAGCCTCTGTGCCGCTCAGGGCTCCATTCAGGTGACGCCACCCCACATACTGAAGTACATGGGCTCTGTGTCCCTGCTCTGTGCTGCTTGCTGGGTCAGGAATGAGCTTTCTGTAGATTGAGGAGCCTGCTCCATGGAGCTTTGTATTTCCCCCATTCGTCCTGTGGTGCATCCGTATCCTAACAGGAAGGGGCTCTGGTGGCGCAGTGCCTACGGCATTTGCTTGCTAACCAGAAGGCTGGCAGTTCAAACCCACCAGCCACTCCTTGGAAGGAAGGTTGGGCAGTCTACTTCTGTAGTGATACTGCCTCAGAAATGCAAGGGGGGGGGGGTCGCTATGAGTTGCCTCTGTCTCCATGGCACATAACAACAAGAACTAATAGTAAGCAGCTGTGGTGGCGTAGTGCCTAAGGCATTTGACTGCTAACCAGAAGGTTGGTGGTTCAAACCCACCAGAAGGTAGATGGGGTAATCTACTTCCGTAAAGATTTACCGCCTCGGAAGCCCACGGGGGTTGCTGTATGTTGGAATCGAGTCAATGACAGTGGGCTTTGTCTTTGTTTTCTTGTACTAATAGTGCACTGTCCACCATAGTTACCTTCATCAAGTAGGTCTGTCAGAGCCTCATCTGTGGGATGTGTTGGGACACGCCTTCATGCCTTTGTCTTTACAACTTGTTGGCTGTTTGTGGACATTTGCTCCTCCAAATGTATTTCTCATGCATTGTTTGGTTAATGTTTAGAATGATAAATGCTTTCAACTTTTTCTACAGGTGTTGGAGATAATAACCCCCCTGAGGACGGGGCTCCCCGAGGTCGCTCCACCTTGTCATTCATTTCAGTCTGCTTGGATGTCAGTTACTATTTTAGAATTTTTTTATGAGGGTTTGTAATTTCATTAATTGCATGCCTTTTAGGAACCTTTTATTTAGACTAAAATACACCTTATCTTTTAAAAGTGAATTTCACAACTTTTGGGTAGTAGTATTACAAACCAAACCAAACTCACTGCCAACGAGTCGATCTGACCTTGGGTTTCCGAGGCAGTATCATTACGGAGGTAGATTGTCTAACCTTCCTTCTGAGGAGTGGCTGGTGGGTTTGAACCTCCAGCCTTCTGGTTAGCAGTCAAGTGCCTTAGGCACTAAGCCACCAGTAGGTAGTAGTATAGAGAAACAAAATATCTAATGTCATCCTTTCTTTGATATTTATTTTGTAATTTGAATGTTTGCTACCATCTCTCCATCCTAAAATCAGTTGTATAATCTCTCAGTCCTGGACTGCTTTTTTGGGTTCTACATGTACAATTATTTAATCTATAAAAGAAAATGGGGTGGGGTCCCCCTTTTTAACATCTGTTTTCTTTTTTCGTTCTTGTTCTTTTTTGGCATGTTGTAGCTACACCCTTTGGGAAAATGTTGGCTAGGAATGGAATAATGGGGATTGCGTTTTCCTATCTGCTTTTCCTGGGAACGTGTGGGATTTGTCTGCATATCTGTTCTTTGGGGTATGGCTTTTGTATATCATTATTTTCAGATTCTGTGTGTTTCTTTCCACTTCTGAGTTTGGGAGGTGTTTTATCCATAGATGCAGAATAATTTATAGTAGTTATACCACTGAGGGACGTGTACATGGAATGTCTGTCACAGAGAGAAATTGATGCTGACATACCCCCATTACTTGATTTTTTTAACACAAACTTCACTCTGTCGTTTAATGTCATCAGTATCTCGACATTTATGATGATCATTTCTTTTCTCTTGTTTATATTTTTACCATATGTTGTTAGGTGCCTCGAGCCAGCTCCAACCCATAGTGATGTTATGTACAACAGAATGAAACACTGCCCAGTCCTGTGTCAGTCACTGCTATGTTACAACCTGTTGTTGCAGCCACTCTGTCAGTCCAGCTCGTTGAGGGGCCTTCCTCTTTTTCTCCGACCGCGTCCTTCCCCAGGCACTGGTCCGTCCTCGTAACACGACCAAAGTCGGTGAGAGGAAGGCTCACCATCCTTACAGCATCTGGCTGTACTTCCGAGAATCTCTGCATTCCCAAATCAATGTATGTTCTTCCTGATGGTTTTTATGTTGTAAATGAATAGAATAGTACATTATGTACATTTTATGTCAATTCCTTTAATATAAATATACCTTGGCAAACCCTTCCATGGGCTGTTAATTCCCTGTTATTGCTCAGTCGTGTTTTCTTACAGGAACACACCATTTGTGTCTGCCTTCTCTTTGGCGTCTTATTCTGGCTTTGTTCTCAACACAGTGTCGGGAATCTGTCCGTGCATCTGTGAATTGTGCCCGTGCCGTGGGCATCCTCACCTTGGTCAGAGGCGTACTGTCTGCCTTAGTTGTCTACTGCTGTTGGATCCTCAGTAAGACACGTGGATGGCTTCGTACAAGAGACATTTATCGTCCACAGCTCAGGAGGCTAGAAGTGGGAATTATGATGCTGGTGTTGAAGGGTGACTTTACCTCTGCTGGCTCAGGAGGAAAGTCCTGTCTCTTTCCGCCTCCTTCCTTCTTGACGTCTTAGTGATCTTCACAGGCCCCAGCATCTGTCTTCCTGTCTCTGCTTTCTTGCAGCTTGTGTAAACTTTAATATCTCCAGACCCACCCTCCACTGATGCTGTATCAGTAAGTAATCCACACCTATTCCCAAATGGGATTATAACCCTAGGGATCGGTTAGGCTTCACGGCGTACGTTTTTCTGAGGGATACAGTTCAGTCTATAACATCATCCATCCAGCCTTCAAGGGCAACAGTCCTGGAGTCATCCTTGTCCTCTGTTTCTTCCGTCCGTCAACCTTCAGTGCACCAGGGAGTTCTGTTGCCGCTCCCTTGAACGTCTAGGACCGTCCTTCGTGTCACCACTTTTCCAGCCACCACTCTGGTCTCGGCCATCACCATTTCCTACCTGATTGTGCCCGTCACCTTCTGACGGATCTTCCTGGTTGGAACATCTGTCCAACACCAGTCCTTTTAGAGCCATCATGTCCGTTTGCACCTCTGCTCAGAAGCGTGACATTGCTCTAAAACTGCTGTGCATTCCGTTCCAGTTCAAAGCCACATGCTGTTCAGGTGCCAACGAGTCCCTGAAGCCGATGTGCCCGCAGACCCCACCCCCCTCCAGGGTCCTCTCCTGCTGCTCTCCGGCCTCTCCCTCTGCTCCCGTCCTGCTGGGCTCTGGCTCTCCCTGCAGCCCACCGGCCACCTTCCCCGCTCTGGCTCTCCCCGCGGCCCGCTGGCCACCTTCCCCGCCCGGGCCCGGGCTCGGGCTCTCCCTGCAGCCCAGCGGCCACCTTCTCCGCTCGGGCCTGAGCTCTGGCTGTGGCCGCTTTCTGGAACAGTCTCCTCTCAGAGGTCCCTTGGGTAACCCCTTCAGTCCCTCACGTCTTAGCTCAAGGGTCTGTCTGCAGTGAAGCCCACTCTGTACGGCAGCCTGAGGAGTGCTGCTCCTTTCTCGACAGCATGCCCGGGCCCTGCCTGCTGCATCCTGCGCAACGTTTCTGCTGTTCTCATTGCCTCTACACGTATCTGCATCTGTATCTGTGACTTTGCGTTAACCGTGTTGACTGCTGAGTCACCATCCCTTAGAGTGGGGAGATCTTTGAGGTTTTCAGTCACATATCCCAATGATACAGAAAACTATCTTATGTGTTTTGAGAGCTCTGGTGGCATAGTACCTAAGGCATTTGGCTGCTAACCAAAAGGCTGGCGGTTCAAACCCACCAGCCACTCCTCAGAAGGAAGATAGGCAATCTACTTCCATAGAGATACCTCCTCGGAAACCCAAAGAGGGGTCACTGTGAGTTGAAATTGACTCAACCTTAGTGAGTATTGGTTTTGATCGTACGTATTTTGGCTTATCTGTGTATTCATTTATTTTCTCATAAATATGTTTTCTTTCTTAGAGCAGTTTTAGGTTCACAGAGTTGAATGGGAAGTACAGTGTTGCCATCTACTCCTACTGTCTCCTGTCACCCCGGCTCAGTCTTCCCTATTACAGCATCCTGTACTCATGTACTAAATATGTTACCATTGGCCAACCGATATTGTCACGTTATTTACACAGAAAGCCGTAGGTTACACTAGGTACACTCCTTGTGTTGTGTTCCACTTTATCGGACTTGACACATGAGTAATGTCTTGTCTGCACCACTGTGATGCCATGCAGAATCCATTGCCTTTGACTGTACTTCTTCAGCCTTTCCCTCTGCCCTGAAGCCTGGCGACCACTGGTCCACGTGCTGTCTGTATACCTTTGCCTTTTCCACAGTGTCATAGAAACCAACCAAAAATCCACTCCTGTCAATGTGATTCCCACTCTTAGGGACCCTATAGGACAGATCAGAACTGACCCTTAGGGTTTCTAAGGATGTAAATCTTTCAGGACCCAGATTACCACATCTATCTCCCACAGAGCAGCTGGTGGGGTTTGAACCACTGACCGTTTGGTCCGCAGCCAGATGCTGTTCCCACGCCACCAATAGAGCTCCTTCAACGATTCAGCAGTGGGAATCTACTAGTATAAAGGTTTTCCGGAGTGGCTTCTTTGACTTGGCAGTCTTCCTCGAAGGTTCTGCTGCATCTTTATCGGACTTTTGGTAGCTCTTTTGTTTTTATTGCGGAGTAAGGGTACACACTTTGCTTCTCTTTTCACCAGTTGAAGAGCCCTAGTTGCCTCCAGTTTTGGGAAGTTACGAATAAAGCTGTTATAAGTCACTGGTGTGTAGCTTTTTGTGCGAACATAAGTTTTGAGCTAATCTGGGTAAATACCAAGAAATGTAGTTGTTGGATCGTGTGGTAAGAGTATGTTTGATTTTGTAAGAAACTGGCAAGCTAGGTGGACTGTTTTGCATTCCACCAGCAGTGACTTGAACATTCATGCGGCCGCAAGTCCTGGAGTTGTCGTTTAATTTGAAGCATAGGCATTCTAGTCAATATGGAGGGGTGTTTTATTTTTGTTATAATTTTCTTTTTTTTTTTTAGTTTTTATTGTGATTTGGGTGAAAGTTTACAGAGCAAACTCACTTTCCATACAGCAGCTCACACTTTATCTCAAGACACAATGCAACAGCTCCCCTCCCACTTCCTCCCCATAGTTACCTCTTCCCTGTGTCCATCCCTCCATGTACCCCTGCCCCCTGAGCTGTCTCCCTGTGCAGACACAGCCCCTCTATTATCCCAGGATTGATCTTTCCAAGGAGTGTATCTGCCCAATATCAGTGTTCAGCTCATATGCCTGTCTATTGTTTGTCTAGAAGTGGATTCTATTCCAGACCTGAAGAGCAGCTAGGGCCATAGTCTCAGCAGTTCCATCAGGCTCTATCAGATCTGCAAACCTGGTCCCTTTCACTTTTTTTATGATTTTGAGTTTTGTTGCTCATTTTCTAATTTGAGTTTTTTGCTTTCATATTGTTGGGTTTTAAGATTTCTTTGTTGTTTTGAATAAAATACCAAAAAATACCAAACCCTTTACCATTGACTCAGTTCCCACTAACAATGACCTTACGTATTACAGAGTAGAACCATTGCATAGGATTTTCTTGGCTATAATATTTACCAGGTCTTTATTTTATGGCGACACAGGGATTGTATGAACCACAACCCTTTACTTCAGCAGCTCTTAGCCCTTCTTGGGGACCTTCTATTTTGAAATCCAGTCCTTTGTCACCTACGTGTTGTAGAAAGATTTTCTCCTAGTTTTTGGCTTGTCTTTTCATTCTGTTAACAATGTATTTTACACTTTTCCTTTTCTTAAACCATTTTATTGTACTGGATATAACCCTTGCCGCAGAGTTGATTCTGACTCACAGCGCCAGTAGAAGACAAAGTAGAACTTCTCCGTAGGGTTTCCAAAACTTAGTTTTTACAGAAGCAAAGTCCAAACCAAACCCACTGCTGTCCAGTCAATTCTGACCCACAGCGCCCCTAGAGGACAGAGTAGAACTGCCCCACAGGGTGTCCAAGGCTGTCAGTCTTCACAGAAGCAAAGCCCAAACCACACCCACTGCTGTGGAGTCGATTCCTACTCACAGCGCCCCTAGAGGACAGGGTGGAACTGCACCACAGGGTCTCCAAGGCTGTCAATCTTCACAGAAGCAAACCCAGATCACACCCACTGGAAGCAAAGCCCAAACCACACCCACTGCCCTGGAGTCCATTCTGACTCACAGCGCCCCTAGAGGACAGAGTGGAACTGCACCACAGGGTTTCTAAGGCTGTCAATCTTCACAGAAGCAAACCCAGATCACACCCACTGGAAGCAAAGCCCAAATCAAAACCAGGTTAGGTTGTATCTTGAGATCTCAAAGAGATTAAACAAGACAGCACAAGTCATAAAGACCTGAGTGTCACCAAGAAGGAAGAACCGGGACTGAAGCACATCCTTTGGACCCTGTGCTGAGAACCTTCTAGAACCAGGGGAAGATTCATGGTTGGCAAGCTTCATTCGGACGTTTAGCTTTCCAAACTGAGAGAATAAATTTGTTTTTTAAAACCATCATGTGTGGTGTTTCTGTGAGAACAGCATGAACAGACTTTGTCGTCTTGGAGTTTTATACTTTTGCATAGACGGTTTTAGATCCATGTTACAGAATATTTGTAAAAGGTGTGAGATCTGTGTCTGGGTTCTCTTTTTGCTCCATGGATGTGTGGGTGTTCCAGCACCATTTATGGAAAAAACTGTCCATTCTGCATTGAGTTACCTTTCATCCTTAATCAAAAACGAGATGATTCTATTTGTATCTGTTTCTGAGTCTCTTTTCTGTTCTGTTAGGTCTGTTTGTTGTTCTGTTAGTCTTCAGATGGTGGAGTGTCAGTTTTCCCAGTTTGTCCTTCTTCATAATTATGTTGATTCTTCTGAGCTTTTGCCTTTTCATGTAAATGTTATAAAACCTTCATCTGTAGTGACTTGCTAGGATATTGATTGAGATTGTATTGAAAACACATCACTTTGAGAAGAACTGGACTCTTAACCAACACGGAGTTTTCCCATGCATGAACAGGGAGGAGCCCTGCTTTTATTTTAACCTCTGAATTGTTTCTTCACAGTTTTGTAGTTTTCTTCATATATATCTTTTGCTGTTTTGTTAAAGCAGTTCTGATGATATAGTGGTTAAAGCAGGTGGTTTCTAGCCCAAAGGTCAGTGGTTTGAATCTACCAGCAGCTCTGTGAGAGAAAGATGAGGCATTTTCCTTCTGTGAAGATTGACAGCCTTGGAGACCCTGTGGTGCAGTTCCACTCTGTCCTCTAGGGGTGCTGTGGGTCAGAAAAGACTCCAGGGCAGTGGGTGTGGTTTGGCCTTTGCTTCAGTAAATATGTACAGCCTTGGGAACTCTAAGGGGCAGTTCTGGTCTGTTTAAAATAAAGGGTTGGAATCAGTTGGAATGGAATTGTTGGCAGTGAGTGGATTAGATTTAAACTATTTCATTTTTGTTGGTATTGTTACCAGCGTAAATGTGTTGGGTGTTTAATTACAAATTGTGGTGGTTCTTTCCTGGCAGAGAGGAAAGCAATTGCCTTTTGTACATGAGCCGTTTTCCTTTAACTTTGGTATGATCGATTATTAATTTCATGAGTATTTTTCTTAATTCTTTGGGATTTCCTAGATAGACAATAATTTCTTCTGCACACGAAGAAAGGTTATTTCATTCCTAATAGTCTGTATTCTTTTCTTGTTTTATTGTATTACCTAGAACTTGTAGTACAATCTAAAATAGTGGTGGTGAGTGGAAACATCCTTGCCTTGATTCCCAATTAGCAGGAAAGCATCTAGTTCCTTGCCATTAATTATGGTGTTAACTGTAGTTGTTTTATACATGTTCTTTATGATATTGAGGACTTTTTTTTTCTGTTACTAGTTTGCTGAGAATTTTTATCATGAATGGGTGTTGGTTGGATTTAGCCAACTGCTTTCTCTTCATCTATTGAAATATTCATGTAATATTCATGTTTAGCCAGTTGATGTGACGGATTACATAAATTGATGTTCTAGTGCGGTTCAAACCCACCAGCCACTCCTCGGAAGGAAGGTTGGGCAATCCTACTCCCGTAGTGATACTGCCTCGGAAACCCAAGGAGGGGTCGCTATGAGTCGGGGCTGACTCGACGGCACATAACAACAACAACAAGTAGTGAACTAGTCCTACGTTGTTGTTTTGTGGCATCAAGTCGGATCGACTCATAGCGACCCCTCCTTGGGTTTCCGAGGCAGTATCATTATGGAAGTAGATTGCCCAACCTTCCTTCTGAGGAGTGGCTGCTGGGTTTGAACTGCCAGCCTTCTGGCTAGCAGTCAAGTGCCTTAGGCACTGTGCTATGAGAGTCCTACATATGTTTAAAAAAAAAAAAAAATCCCACTGGGTTGAGGCGCATCATTCTTCTCCATTGTTGAATCAGTGTCATAAGTGTTTATGGGGATGTTTTCCATCTGTGTTTAGAGATTCTGTATTTTTTCTTTCTTGTAGCACTGTAATGTCTTGGGCTGTTTTTGTCATTTGTGTGATACTGGCCTCATACGATTAGTTTGGTAGTATTTCCTCTGCGTCTGTTTTCTGGAAGATATAGGGAATTTGGTAGACTTGCTTGATTAA